TTAATGTTCGGCTCCGCCCGAACTTAGACTTTTTTACTTGTTTATGTATACATTTGTCTATATCTATCTCGATTCGTTCTGCCTGTTACAAACAACCGTTATGTGAACAAAGTTATAATACCCTTGTGGACAAGTGCGCTCGGGTATAAAAAAAGATAGTGCAATGGTGTGTCATTTTTACAAGATTTAAATTGTTTAAAAAGTCAAAGTTGGACATATCATTTTGTAACACATTCCAAATGATATTGTTTGCCACTTATGTTTATTTATTTAGTAATTTTTGAGATTTTTCAATCGATTAAAATACAGTTCATTCCCTAACAAATACCATATAAACTCAAGCTTAAGATTTTGTAGAACACTTAAAAAAAAGATGCAACATTATTTCAAACTTTTTTTCTCAGAAGTGTTTTTTGAGTATACAGTTTTATAGCCCATTCAAATTTGGTGTAATAATGTGCAAGTTTCAAGTGGCCAAAAATTACCGTTGATTCTTTAGAATTTTTTTCACCGAAGTTGTGTAGTGTAAAAGAACACTTAAAAGGGGAAAATTCTAAGTAAAACTGTAAATGGGGCACGAGAAATTTGGGTACTTATGCGGATTGGGTAAATAAGCGGAAAGGTACTTAAGAGAGGGATTTTCTTCAGATTGTATTAAAAAATTCGCGGTGTCCAAAAATTTTGGTTACTTAATCGGGTTAGGTACTTAAGCGGGTTTCACTGTATACATATGTGCAAAATGAACTATTCAGCTTCCGCCTGCTCCAGTGTCAAAATTTTTCAACAGAAGTCTACACCAATGAATGGGTGGTAAAAACTTAAACATATAGAACCTATTTTCATAATAAATACCGTTTTATTATTTTCCCTAGATATATTATGGCCAATAATATCACATGGCATTGAATTATCTGAAAAAGAGCCCGGAAATTTAACAGGAATGAATTTTTGTGGCATGAAAAGTAGTTAATTAACTGCTGAAGTAATCGGACAGCAGAATATATCTACATAAGAAGTTCCTATAAAAATTCCGACGACTATGGAAATAATAAGCTTGGTGGCCCTATACATCCCCAAAAGAGTGGTGCAAATGATATATCTAAAGGTTAGCTACTAGGGACAGCATGATTTAACTTAAAAACTGAAATATATTTGAATCTCTGTCACAAGTAAAGTTCACAATTAATAACACTAGTTTACACGAAAAACTAACCTTTGTAAGAAAGTATTTTCTAGGCTAACTATGGGTCGCTGAACATGGAAACAAAAAAAAATTTTGTGTTCAAAGAAGCGTTTTCGAAATTTTTCCGAAAAACCTGGTTTTTTGGTACTTTTCGCAGTTATTCGTAAATATCTCTTGAAAAGATCATAAAATCGATGCAATGAACCTACCGTTTGAATAGTAGTGATGTGCCCTTTACTAAAAGATATAACTTGTGCAGATTTATATAAAAATTATTTGTGTTACTACCCTTCAGGCAAACGGTGACAATTTGCCACATAGTGTAAGTTGACAGGAGAAAAGAGTGCCACTACGGTGACCACTCTTGGTGATGTAGTGGGTATCAGTTCAGCTTTTGTTTACTTTCAGCATTCGCTAGCTTGTACGAAAAAAGCCGAATGGATAGGAGAATTACGGCGGCGAAATAATTAAAACGCCGCCTTTATAATCACGCGGAGGGCATTAAAAATACCAGAGACGGAAAATAAACATTATTTTTTAAATTTTAACAAAAAAAATTAACAAGTTTTAATCGTCGTAAAACCGTTATAACTATACTCACGTATTTGTGTTCGTAGTAATAAATTAAAAATAATAATAATAATTAATATTTGATTAAGAAGAATATTTCAGTTAAGAATAATGATCATTCAGGAAAACTCAAAAGCTATAGCAGCGTGATTTCCGTTGTATCCTTTTTAGAGGTAGCGACACCCTAATAAGAAGAATAAGTTCCAAAATTTTCACGTCAAAATTTCAGTAAGTTGCGTCTGTATGGCCTTTTCAATTTCATAAATAATCATTGTTTTTAAGCGGAAAAATAAAACTCAATAATAATTATTATCTCTGAGCGAAAAAAATAAAAATCATAAAATAATCATTATTTGTGATCGAAAAAATAAAAATCAAATAATAATCATTTCCGTTGAGCGAAAAATATAAAAATCATAAAATAATGATTAAATGCTGATTTAAATTATTTTACTCATAATAATTACCGTCCCTGAATAATACACACTTTTCCGTACGTCTTTACTCTAGAAAACATGAGCCGGCCATCGAAAATTATAAGTTCGGCGTAATAAAACTTCTTGCTCGGCACATAGATGTGAAACAGCTGATTTACATGTGAAACGTTTATAGAAAAGAAAAATAAAAGCATTTTCGTGTGTGAAGTGATTCGCGTTTTTATTAAATTGTGGACATTAATAAATCAAATAAAATGCTGGGAAGTCGGCGAAACTTAAAAAGGTTGGTAAGCAATAAAAGAAAAGAATTTTTATCTAAACTTCAATATAAACCAACCAGCGAGGTAGTGAGTGTCCCGGTAGCATCTGAACCACGCGATTATGAGTCTCATTTGCAATCAAATGCAAATATAGTTTCTGGAAATGATCCTGCTAACAGTGTGCGTCCAATTTCTTTAAAAGAGCAGCTAAAAGATTGGGCTTTGAAACACAAGCCAAGTAGGGAGTGTTGCAATGATATACTTGCAATTCTTGCTAGACAAAATCTCGATGTCCCAAGGGATATTAGAAGCCTCATACCAAAAAAAAGCAAGTTGGTTATTAAGAGTGTACCTCCTGGGTTTTATTCTCATTTTGGCATAGAAAAACAATTAATGTCTTTTGGTGATTATGTTTCTCAATTCGAAGAAATCGTTTTCGACATAAATGTTGACGGAATACCTTTGTTTAGAAGCTCAAGGGTTCAACTCTGGCCAATTTTGATAAGAATTTTAAACTTTAAAGTCAATAACATTTTGCCAGTAGGTATTTACATTGGAAAACAAAAACCAAAAGATTTAGAAGTTTATTTGCTGGATTTTGTTCAAGAACATGATAATCTTTCGAAGACTGGTATTTGCGTTAGTAATAAAATAGTTAAGCTTAGATTGAGGGCGGTGATTTGCGATGCTCCGGCTACAGCTTTTATATGTGGCACAGTTGGACACACATCTTCCCACGGTTGTTCCAAGTGTACACAGGTAGCACGGAAAATCGATCAGGTTTTGACGTACACTACAAATTCAGACAAACTAATTACAGATGAAGATTTCACGGAGAGGCGACTGAAAAATCACTTCAGCAAAAAGTTTAGGTCAGAGGCTTCTCCCTTGGAAACTCTTAATATAAAAATGGTAAGCCAAATTGCTCTTGACACTATGCACCTTATTGATTTAGGGGTGGTAAGGAAATTTCTAATACGCTTGCTGAACAACAAAACCAGTTTGGAGTACAAAGCTCCTAAGGAAAATCTTAGTACCATTTCGACTAAATTAGTCTCCCTTAGAAAGTATATTCCACTAGAATTTTCCCGTCGACCGCGAGGTTTTGAAGACATTGTTCATTGGAAAGCAACGGAATATCGCCAATTTTTGCTTTATACAGGGATACTGGCATTAAAAGGAAGCATTCATGATGAACTCTACTATGAATTCCTCTTACTCCACTGCTCATGCAGACTTCTATCGTGTCCAAGATCCTACGAAGAAAATATATCGCTTTGTCAAAATATGCTAAGCCTATTTGTGGAAAACTTTCCAATAGTTTTCAAAGAAAATAGTGTGAGCTATAATGTACACAGTCTTTTACATCTTACCGAGTGTGTAAAGCAATTTGGTGTTTTGCAAAATTTTTTCGGCCTATGGCTTCGAAAATTATCTTCAGATTTTAAAAGGCTACGTAAAAAAACCACAATGCGTACTCAAGCAAATTTACAATAACGTTAAACACGAAAACCGTCGCATTTCATCACAACAGGAAGGATTTGTAGAAGAGAAAAATCGTGTTAAAAAGTTTGTGACCTCAGAATATATTTTTAGTACCAAATTCCCTGATAACTATTGCTTTATCTTACCGGATATTCCCCTCACAATCAAAAGTTTTGATAAAGAGAACAACCTTGTAATCGGAAAGCGATTTCTAAATCAAACGCATTTTTTTAGTCAGCCTATAGATCCGTTAAAGCTTTTAGGAATATGTTTAGTCGATGAAAATATTAATGAC